GCAATAATCTGCATTGCGTGCAAACGATAGAGAAGAGACCCGCGAAGGTCCTTACATTTATGTTTCTACTCGTCGTTGAGCTAAAAAAAGACAACACACTCGTGTCGTTTCACGTTATTACACTTCATAAAATTCTACCTAAAAACGGTTGAAAATATGCATATAATCATTAAAGTTTTTCTATTTTCACCATGGTGAGTCTGTTGGTTTCACATTTATTAAACGATTAATAAACTTGGCAAATTTCCTTTCCAGTTTAGTCATTACAGATCATCCTCCCAATTACTGCTCTGTCAAGAACACAGCAAGTTGTTTGAAGTTGCCTGCAACTTGATTGTTTGTGAACATCCTGGTACTCCTATTGCTGGATGTTTTATCAAAACGCCAGTTTAAGATAATATTCAATTGAGTTTAAGTTAGTCAGTAGATAAACGGTTTATCATGGTGGTGCGCTTATTCTTGATGTGGCGTTGGTTTTCTTGATTACCTTTTCTTGATGTAATTTCAAGACAAGTTTAAAGGCATAGTTGTATTGTGAAGTTAGAAGTTTGGCCAGTTCTGATTAGCTGGTCTGCCTATTCTCGCTGTGTATTTTTGTGAAGTTCGTCGTTTGGTCTAGTTGCTCCCGCTGTGTGTTTTGGCCAAACATGTTTGCATGGATCTGATCTAGTTGGCCTATTCTCGTTTCAATTTTAGGTCAGACGTCAGCTTAAAGGTGTGTTCGTAGTGTGAAGTGTGCAAGCAGTTTGGCTAATTCTGACCATGTGGTCCGCTTAAGAGTCAATGATTTAAATTCTGAAGTTTGTAATTTGATTGGATCTGATCTTCTAGTTGGCCTATTCTCGTTTCAATTTTAGGTCAAATCTATTTAAAGGTGTGGTCGTAGTGTGAAGTTTGCAAGCAATTTGGCCACTTCTGACCATCCTGGCTGTTTGTTCCGGCCAAACTACATTTGCACCAATAGTAAAAGTTTATATTTTGAATTTTGCCGGTAATTTGAGCCTCTTTTACTTTGCCTATTTTTGTTCTAATTTCTTACTTTTTCCTTTGGTCCTGATCATTCTGGTCCACCTATCCTCGCTGTGCGTTCCTACTAGTGTGCAGATTTCTTCTAATAAAATAGTGATCAATGATTTATATTGTTGAACTTTGGCTCTGCTCTTCTGTTGGGAAAAATTAGTTTTTGTCCGCCTAGCTTTGCTTATTTTGTCATAGACATTAGAATGTTTTATAATGACCAGATAAGAGGATAATAAATACGTTTTTGCCGCTTTGGACCACTGTGTACCAGTAAAATTGTTTGGTCGTATATAATCTTCCTGGTCCGCCTAGCCTCGCTGTTTTTGTCTATCAGATGGATTTTTTTCTCTAAGTTGTCTTCAATAGTTAATTCTATTGTAAACGACAACAATATTCAGACATCCACTGAAGTTGGCTACATGATGCATCTGACAGGCGAAATCGCTAGGTCAGACAAACCAAGATGATCTGAGATTATTAATCTTCTCCTAATTGATTATTACATAAACCCAAACCTTTATGACCATCTATAAACGGGACGAAGACGAGCAACCTTATGCAGACATCCAAACTATATATTACATATTGAACTGGTATGCAACATCCTTTTGTTTACAAAAATTCTTGGTCCGCCTATTCTCGCTTTCTTTTTTCGAGCTGATCGACCAGGATCGATCATTGACGACCAGGATCGATCATTGACGACAAGGATCACCATTTTTTATATTGTTCTATCCAAAAGATTGTTTAAAGGAAGTTTTATGAAGGTGCGGAAGCTCTCAATATATCATTAAAAAAAATTAAAAAACATGAAATAAAACGAGAAATTGTTATTGGTTTAATCTAGGTTTGTCGAATTTGGCTCAGAATTTCTCGATCCGCTTATTTTTGCTTTCTTTTCGAACAGATTTCCAGGCAGGCTCCATTTTTTCATTTTCTCAGGTAATATGTTTGTTCCTAGGCATTTCGGTCCGTCTATCCTCGCTTTGTATTTTAATCAGGCCCGTTTCCGTTTCAAACATGTTAATTTTTGCAACAAATAGATAAATAACAGTGAAATAAAAAAAATTCTGGTTTAATATTGAAGGTTTTCCTAAATATTTTTGCGCGTTAAAATGACGTTTTGCTTAAATAAAAGTAATACGTGTAAAAGTGATGTAAAGCAAATAAAAATAAAATGTAAAACGGGCAAACACATAGGGGAAATCTTTTGTTCTCGCGTTTCCCAAAAATTCTGGTATGTTATGATCGGCTTTGTTGTAATTCCAAACTCAAGTGCAGCTTAATAACTCGCTAACGTTTTACAATTCGAGTGTTTACACGCTCTGCTGAATCGCAAAATTCGTCTTACTCTCAACAATAGGTTCCCCAAATCCAATCGCTTAATTAGGTATACTACTTAATAAAGTAAGTAAATAGTCTAAATTTATCGATAGAAAATAGTGTTTGGAAAATACGACATAATTGATATTGTCACAAAAATACATGAAAAATCAAATTTGGTGTACAAGTTATCCAGGGTTAAAACGAATTTCAGAAACAAAACGCAATAATTGTCCAAGGATTTAAGACAATACTTTCGATTTGTTCCACCGTTCAATCACAAACCAGTTGCCAAATAATCCATGATTTGTTCGAACGTTGACTGATCACGGGTTCTTACCTCTGATGGAACGCTTTTTTCCAATCTCACAATGGACGACCAAGTTGGTATCTCGGATTTGGACCAAAATTTTTTTGGCGATTCTAAACTCCAAAATATCGGATTTTCGCGAACATGCAGTAAAATATTCAGCTCCTCGTCGAAACTACGCCGCCGGTTTCTTGGTGATGGAACAGCGACCGATCCGATCTCATATTGCGAGCAACACGATTAAACGTTTTGTGGTTCACTCTGGGGCCATCAGGAAATTTCTGGGAATACAACTCGACTCACGACGCGCAATACCACCACTATCAATAAAGCAGTCGTACATAACAACTGAATGTAACGAAAAGGTACTATTGTCAAATTTATTTACTTCCATGAATTAAGATTTGCTCTCATAACGCGAGTTTGACAATGACACAATGTAAACAATAAAGACAATAAAACTTCAGTGAAGAAGCAAAATATTGGAATTAACAATGAAACAAACGAAATGCGTTTTTTTTTCAAATCTTTTGCTCTAACTTTGTCATTATTTTGACCGATATAAATCCGATTGGACGATTGTTTTCAGCGTAAAAAATTCTTTGAAATGATGTGTCAGGATGTGTAGGGTCGCATTTCAAATTTTGAAGTTGAACTGGGCCTTTGAGGTATCCTGTATAATTTTTCTCCAAAAAAGGTAAAAATTTGAAACAGGAATAAGGAATATTAAAGACGTGTTTTTTGTGAGAAAGAACACTCTTCCTACATACAAAATTAGTATATTTTTTTTCTAATAGAAATCTTTTACATATTTGTAATACATACGTACATACGTCTGTAAAAAGCTACGTTTCTCTTCCTTCAAACGTATGTTTGACGAAATTTTGAAGTTGAACTGGGGCTGAGGTACCCTGTATAATTTTGGTTGAAACTGGACTAAAACATATAAAAGACATATGTATGTTTTTTTGATAGAGTCATTGGGTCAAGAGAAATTGAGCCGTGCCTTCTAAAAAGAACACTGCCCAGATATAAAATTTATATTATATTTTGTATTGTATTTTTTTGTATTATCATTTGTAAGTATGTCGGGCTCGAATGCAGGGCCGCTGGATTCGAACCCGGGACCTTTACCTTACAGTGATGAACGCCGTGTCAACGCCTAAACCGTTGCGGCCACCGACGCCCCTAATCTGCTTAAAGTTAAAATCTTTTTAGCCGTTTTTTAATTATAACCAAGTGTCAATTTAAGACGATTTCTCGAAAATCGTATAAATTTAAGAGGTTCAAAAATCCCTAAAATTAAATTCAAACATTTTATATGAGGCGCTAAAACGAAATTTCAGATTAGTGTCACAAAACTAGTTTATACCTCCATTATCGGCGACAAAAAAAAAACAAAAAAACTTTACGTCTACTTATAATTATTAAATGATTTTTAAAGCAATAAAACAAAAAATATGGCCCAAACATTATCAAATTAAAAAAGAAATCAAAATATCATAGTTCGTCATATTTTTTTTAAGAAGTGTATTTTATTTCACATATAAGTCCGGTCCCTAGTTGAGTAAGCAACTGGGAAACATCTGAGTATGTCTCTAACTGCCAATCCCTAGTAAAATTCTCGGTCTGTTTTGACGGTCCAAAACCATTAAAAACATGGTTTTTAAGCCTGATGCAACGGCTGACTGACAGTTTGAATTTGGAATTTCATAAATAAATTTTATATATAATATTTTCATATAAAAATTATTGGCTGACTCATGATGGAATAAACGTTTGATATATCACATATAAAGTTCAGATTGATAAATGGACTAAAGAAACCATATTGAAAAACTAAATAGTAAGAAAAAGCTTAATAACTCAGGAAGCGTTCTTCGGAGAAATTTTTCTAATTAATCATAATCCAATCTTAATAGGATTCTGAAAAGTGTACTGAACCGGGAGAAAAAAAGTTTCAACGAAGTTTAAATATATTAAAACGCGATGGGGAACTAGTTTTTCTATGGCTCCCAGTTCCCCAGTGATCGTTCAGAACGAATAATCGACGCAGGGGTGTTTTAAGAGTTCAGTAATCAGTAGCTTTCGAGTGTCGGACGTGTTAGTATCGTTTCCACGAAAGTTGTTTTTTTAATAGTGATCAGGATCGTATTTCTGAACAGATTTTTCCAGAATGCCAAACCCGTACCAGTGAAATGTTTAATGGTATGTACTTTTCGGGTCGAGGTGATCTGTACCAATAATTAATATCTTAAGTTTGAGTATAAAGAGGATTAACCTGTAAGCACAGCGCGAAGGTTATCGGAGGGGGCTTCCCTCCGGACGACTTTCCCGCCAACATGTGATATGACCGTTCTTATCATATTAGTCAATGGTGATAGAGGTCGCATTGCTCCGTCGGCCTCGAACTGTGTTAGTGCCTTGTTCGTCTTATTAAATAGAACATTAAATCGTCTTATATTCAAGATGGCGTCAATTGAGAATCTACTCTCAAACTGCTTTCAGTGTTATTTGAAATGTATAAGACTAAAGTGAATATAATCAGTGATTTACGATCAAAAGCTTCGCAAGCTTAAGAACATCTAATGAAACTATTGAACACCTTTGTAAGCGATAAGCCGTGTAAGAAAAACAATAACACCATGGGATCGCGCCCGGTTGAACGTTCGTTCGCTCATGCTCCGACAGGAATAAAAACCGGTTAGTCAATTTCATAAAGTAATTAAATCAAACAAAGAGAATAGTACTGGCGAAGAGACCAAGAATTTTCTGAAAAAAATTATTAATAGTCTACATATGTAAAAGTGAACGTTCCTATGTGCGTTAATCGCCAAAACGAAAACTACTGAACCGATTTCGATAAACATTCACACTTTGTTTTTATTAGTGCCGGGCTGGTTTAGAGACTATAAAATGATCATATAGCAAATATTGTGCATCAGGATTTACAAATAAAGAGAGATTTCAGGCATTGTGTGGCGTCCATTTTCTCAGCTGTCCAAACAGGCATTCCGCTCCCGGTATTCCCATTTTTCGAATTCCGATTTCGCTGAAGTTTAATAGTTTTCTCTTATTAATCCCAAAAGTGTTTAGAGACTATAAATCGGGCTTGTGTTACAAATAAGGGACGACAGGATTTACACAAAATAATACCATTTTCCTACGTTCATACGTTTCCCGCGTCATTCAAAATTTAGAGGGGCTAACGGTCAATAGGTGCAACACTATTATTATAATTACTTGATCTGTCATAGTCGCAAAAACTACAGAATTGGTTTCGCTGATGTAAAGATAGGAAGATACAAAGTTCATCGTTGTATCTTTGCTATAGGCAGCAGTGATGTAAGTAGATGTAAGTAGGAAAACGGACTACTGGCATTTCGCATATCCACAAGAAAAGTGACACAAGAGAGTCGAAAAATGATAAAAACTGGATCATTTAGTTTTTTGAAGTATTAGGCTGTGTTATGCTACAGGAAAAAAGACAACTGTTAGCTAGACAGTAGTATGTGTCTCTTTTGAATTGACTGAAACAAACCATTCACAAAAAGTGTTCTGTCGAGCTTTAAAGCATCGGTGTAAGTATTTATTAGAAAAAGAGGCTCATTTTGAGTTACGTCAGTTTTTTCCTGTTTATTGAATGATTTTATGCTGTACCGGAGTCACATTTTCACATCAAGAAAAACAATTGTTAAATCAATCGTACAAATATGTTTTTCGTAATGTGAAATTAATATAAGCCCTGATGATGACCTTTAAATAGGTCGAAAGCTTGGCAGCAACAACTGAATTTGCTTTTTTCTTCAAGACCATACCTCGATGTTGAGTGTTCGTGAATAACATAATTATAATATCGTTTTTCATAATTTTTTAACAATATTGTCTTTTAACTTTTACGTTATTTTATAGTTTCAACGATTTTTTAATGTTTTAATTACATTATTTTTAATCATCGATGAAACATTTATTTAAAAAATTAATTTTATATTTTAAATGACTAATTAGCTTTGACTAAGAAGGGAGTAAAGCACATTTGGGTCAAAAATAATCTTAGTAAAAATTTCTACATGGATATTTATGCTCGTTTATTAGGTTTGTATGTTGTCGGTTACTATCATAAAAAAATTAATACCTTTAGTCATCCTTTGACCACAATTATCATCAGAGGAAACAAACTAACTTAAATTACTAAGGGTCATTGTATGCAAGAAAAGTGTGACAACTCCAAAAAAGGGGGTAATGTTTTAGGGGTAGTACAGCTGGATTGTTAAAGTTTTGTGTTGTCGCTTAAGTCTTGGAGAAACGAAAGCCAACAGTGATGAATTTTGACAGTTTTTATTGTCAACAACCGTAATGGCGTGTACATAATACATAAGTAAAAAAATGTAAACTTCCATTTGTCTCTCCTGTGAAATTTTCTTTTGTTGAGTTGTCTCACTTTTTTTGTGGGTGTGCGATGTGGTTTGACCGTTTCACTTAGGCAAACCATCAGAATTGATAAAAGTGTTCCACGTGAACGTTTATTTAATGTAAAAAGATAAAGACTAACGGGGGTCGGTGGCCGCAACGGTTTAGGCGTTGACACAGCGCTCATCACTGTAAGGTAAAGGTTCCAAACTTCTCTTTTGGGATCAGATTTAGTAATTTTTGCGACTATAGAGTGTTAGCGCCTCCAAAGCGGAATTTGAAAGACGAGGGAAACATAATTATAGGAAAATGGTATATATTTTATAATATATTTGCCAAGGTCAGTCATTATTATTATGTGAATTGAGTTGGGAGAATCCATGGTTTCGTCATGGACAATTATACGTTCCCTTCAGGAACCCAAGGGATTTGTTGTTTGTACATACGCCAAATGAAATCACTAAAAACATTGTATATGCAAGAGACATTGCAGTGAATTTAACGCTGAATACCAGAGTAATTACAATTTAATACAGTGTAATCCAAAAGAAAAATAATTTTGCATATACAAAAATCTAATATTATGATTAATCTTGATCAAACTAATCATTGATATCAAACATTTCAATTGAAAAAAAATGCCCAAAATGCACAGGGGATCACAAATTAAAAGAATATATTGTGGAGGAGAAATTATATATCAATGATACACAGTTTAATAATTTTTGTAGAACTGATAGGAAAGTTGACAACAAGCAGTCGGCGAGTCCCGGTTTAAACATGTTCCTTAGTAAATTTTAATAAATCGACTATGAACCAGCAGTATAAAAAATTGAATTACGTTGTCTGTAAGTAAACTTAAATCATCGTTACTCAATTATACACAATTTTTTCGATATACACAATTTATACAAATTTGTGTCACAGGCAGGATTCGAATCCATGACTTTCGGTGTGTTGAGTAATTAAACATTGTATTGGGGCAATTGATTTCCAATTCCAGATTCCAAACCATCGGATATATCCTTTGGACTGTCCTTTGCTGAAAAAGAATAGAGTACAACTCATGAGGAAGGTTTTGTGCACCGGGGAAAAATGGCCACCAATTGAAAAAATTTTCCTTAAAGACGATATTAGAGACAGTTTCGTTAATTTTATTAAAAGTATAGACGTTATTAAATTAATAGTTAAGCTTACTTTTTCTATCTTTTCATTATTATTATTTCATTTTTTCGTATTTATTTATTTTTTTAATTATTTTTCGTGTTTGTCAGAGTTTTCCTTTTTTTTAACATAAATCCAAAGTATTAAAATAATGTTCAGAAAAATAATAAAAAAAGTGAAATTGCATGTATTTATTGCATGCAGAAATAAATTATCATATAGGAGTAATTAGTATAGGATATAATAAATTTAGTATAGGAGGCCAAGTTTCCTGCTAAGCGTGAATCAAGTAACCTACTTGGTTAAGTTTATATCTTAGGCCCACCAGTTCAAAGTAGGCGAGAGCTACCGGTGATCCAACAGCGGGGGTAAAGCTGCAAATCCACTTTTCTTCTACACCCATTTATTTACATGGGGCCGGATCCGTTGGGTGGGTGTTTTAGTATCCTTTGGGAAAGACGATGGGGCATGGAAGAGAAACTTTTGGACTATTAAAAAACAAATTTGGTACATGTCGGTTCAGAGGTGAATTATGGTTTGTGTGGTTTTTATGTCAGTCTGAATGATAATGTTGTGAACGATTGCTAGAGTAAGAGTGTGTACGCGGGCGTGATTTTGTGTTTGTCACAACGATCAAACTATTAAAAGAATTCATTGTTTGTCTTAGACAAAGGAACCTATTGTCAACGATACATTCTATTCATTCATCAGCACATCAAAAAAACATTACATTTGAAATTTTTAATCCATCATAAGTCAACTGCTTAACGATCCCAAAAATGGGCTTTGTCAAAAGAAGCACTTCAGTGAACAAACAACCTTAGGACATCTTGAATCATCAATTATTAAAAGTGAATAAGACATGAGGTCCGCCGCGCCGCTTAGATCTAGATGCGGCAAAAACCTTTAAAATTGTTTTATTTTGGCTTCTAGAAAACAATATTTCTATTTAGTTCATTAGTTTTACTGCAGCTTCATCATTACGATAAGAACTGAATTATTGGTAGAAATAATAAAGCAGAGTACGAAAGTTTTCATTACCAAACAGCGCAATAATAATGAAATCACCTGTTGATAGTATACAAACAAAAACGAAAGCTTGTCCTAGCGTTCTTTTTAAAGGTCTAAATTCAATGATACGTAGTCGATTTATTCCCCTTGAACTGAAATTGCAACTATTGTATTATTTTATGGACATAATTTTCTTTGCCTACTTGGAACAACAATAAATTATGTTTTTTGTCAGCCCCAAATTATGAGGTTTGTAAACCAAAGTTTTTAAGACCCTTTTAATGGCCCTCTTGATTAACTAACATCAAATAATTTTTTAACTAAGCAGTATTGCTCACAATTGTTTTATACACGGGTTGCGTATAACGTAGTACGAATTCCAAGTTTGGGAGAAAATTAATTCCAGGTTTTTGTTCAAGAGCGTGGATTCAAAAAAAGCTTAAGCAAAGACCGAATATTTCTTTGTTTTAACTTTTCCGCAACTAATTTATTATTAGACAATCACCATCTTCAAACAACTTAGTCGGAAATTGAACAAAAAATAAAATGTATTCTTAAGGATGGTCCTGCCCAGCTCCATGTTGATGTTGAAGATTAAAATTTCATACAGTTTAGCAAGTGACATTGGGCTACAATGTCCTACAAAATTTGTAGCTTCTATAGACGTTTGCTCTGTAGGCACACATTTGGCGTACCCTTATTTTTAGGTTGTAAAGGTCAACATTTTCCCTGTAATCGTAGAAGCGATACTTCTTTCATTTAGCGTCGCTGTTTATTCCTGTCAGACGGGTTTCTTTGCCTTGAGCACTTGGCTTATGACAGCGAACGAGAAAAATATGCAGACATTCACTGAAATTGTATTGTATTTACACAAAACCAGCGAAATCAGACAGACCAGGATGGTCTGAGACTATTAACGTACTCGCAAATTGATTGCTACATAGACCCAAACCGCTATGACTCGTATGACAGGGACAACGACGACATACACCATGAAGACACTCACAAAATTTAGGATATAAAAAAATAATATGCAACACTGGCAGTAAATTTTAAACTAATGATTCGTCGAGCACATTCAGTACATTCGATTAGGAATCTTAAATGTAACTGATAATTTCGGGATTATCAGTTTATCAAGGGATCACTCGAAAAGATAAAGTATTTTATTGTAGCTGGTCAACTCAATGGAATTCATGATTATCTTGTCCAGTTTGATTCGCATTAAACAAGTCGTTATAGATAAACATATAAAATATGTGTGGCGTTTAGTGACCGTTAACCAATGATTATTTGGAGATCGTGAGGTGCGGTCTGGTGTGACGTAGGTTTTAGAAAAACATTTTCTTTATCATGCCAACGTTTCGTTTTTTTTTAGATCATCTTCAGGGCCTGGGATTTATAGACATTAATTAAATTTTACATATAAAATATATTAATCTTTTTGAGTTACGAAATAACTTGGATGGGTTTTGGGCCTGTGTATCTCTTTATATTGGAACAAGATTATGAATGAAAAACACTAAAAAGCACTTTTTACAAACACACAGGAAAACCAGACTTTTATTGTTTAAAACTTATCTTTTTATTTAATCAATTGTCATTTTAATGATTATATTTTGAGTTTTTTTTGAAAGCCAAAATCAGTAATTATAAATAGAAGAGGGTATTTAGATATGGTATATGTTCATCATATTTTTGAAAATTATTTAAAAGAAAAGTATTGTTTGCCAAATATTAATGGAAAACGCGAGGAAATCGATTTTTAAAAATGATGCAAAATGTCTGTCTGTTTGTAAAGAATTGCACTCGTTTGTTAATCATGAAGGGGCAAATTATTTCAGGCGTATTCAGAGTATTAAACTGGCTTGAGGCTTATGGTTGTAGCTTATTGGAAATTTGCTTCGTGCTTGATTGTTTTATGATTCTATCGTTTAGTATTAGGATGGTATGATGATGTGAATTGAAATGTCATAACAATGATGATGCGAAAAAATAAATTGAAGGGATTAATTTTTTTTTTAAGAAAAGCGTTTTTTTATATCATTTTTAGCTAAAGAGATTCAAATTATTTATAAAATATGCGGAATTAAAATTGTTATAACAAATTATTGATTTGGGCGCAGGTTGTTGCAGGCGATGATTTAACTTTTTCGAGGCTGTTTGTTTGTAGGTTGCAATTTGTTGGAAATTGGTTTCAAGCTTGATTGCTTTAAGATTTCATTGTCCACAGTAAATATTATATAAGAAAATGAAGTATTAAGAATAATGATGCCTGCTAAATATCGAGAGTTTGTAGGTTTTAAATAAAAACCAGCCAAATTTGGCCACAGGGCAGAGATTTCAAGTAGGTTTAAAATGTTTCGAAAATAGTTGACGGGGGATTTTGAGACGTTGGGATATTTTCTTATCGCGGGCTGTTCTCGCCTTTAAATTTGGGGATAACGTAATAACCCAAATTGGTTCCAGGCCTGTAGGATATATCTCATAAATAATTCGGTATGTACCGGAGGGAAGATAACACACTTTTGTCCAGATTAGATAACTGGATTGTTGTGTCGCCTCTAGGCGTTATGTACTAATTTCTCCGGCCCCCTCGATTGATTTTTCATTGAGAATAACAAGGCGAGACGCAGATCAATGTAGCTACGAGTGGGTCCGTTATCACCCGCTACGTGCTTAAAAATCCCTGGCTTTTTTTCGTCGTGAGAATGGCCGGAAACTCGTTATTTAACGAGTCCGAGACCGGGGATTTTAACCAATTGTCACAAAGGGGATTAACGCTGAATCGACTCGCCGTGTGTAGTTTCAAAAGTGTATTGTATTTAATATTTTGTAAAATAAATAAAAACCGCTGAATAAAAAGCTGTTCTTTTGAAATAAAATCAACAAATGATGATATAAAAAATCCATCTTTTCGCTTTTATGACGTCTTATGTTAATAAAAAGTGCCGTAGTATAAAATAAACGCGGATAATTTTTCCCTTTGGAAAATAGTTTGAAAACGTATCGACCTTTCTATTACGACTTCCGGTTCTTCTTTAAGGTCATTTTGCTACCGAGTCGAAGACTTCAGGTAACTTTACTAACTCATTCAATTTTCGCCAGTGGGTCTTTTGAAAAATTTTACAATCTGTTGGCCCGTAAAATACCGAACATTGAAAGATACTTAATCTGAACTCTGACTTGGCTTTCCTTTGTAAATTCTCTTGGTATGTACCATACCAGCTGGCGACAAGAAAGTTAGGTTCAAGTCTAAGATTTGAATCGTGCTTTTTTGAAGTTTAGAAGAACCACCGGTAAAATAGTAAAACCAAATCGAATACAACTTTGGGAAAATATTTTTGTACAGGTATTTTGATGTTTTACTTACTTTATACTAAATTCACTAACGGGTTAGGGTTCAGTTTGTACTTAGGCAGTTTAATCATGAGTTTGGGACGTAGTTAAAAAAAAATCAGGCATTGTGTTTTTACATGTATATTTTATATTTACAGCATAAATGTATCATTTATGTTTATAAAGATCTCAGACAATGCGATTTATTTTTGAAAAATTGAATTTACAAAGTGGCTATGTTACTTTGAATCATCAACGTCCTAAGTTAAAGAAATCACTCTGGCATACTTACAAATGGGCTTTTTTCAAAAACATCGCCATCCCGAAGGTTAATATAACTTCGTTGTTGAAATACCCTTCTAAAAAAATTGAAAGACATTTTCTAATGCTACCAACTCATACGCACATTCAAAATTTAACACTTCCGTATTCTCACAGACAGAAAAAAACACCCACACAGAAGATCGCGCATGCACGCATACTCGCGTATTGAAATTTTAAAGAATGCATTTATTATAACTGGATCGCACATAATTTCTAGCGATACACTGTTAAGATAAGAGAGTTTCTCGTTTGATTATCTTTCTTCCATTACTCTTACATGCTTTTTCCAATTAGTCATGCATGGATGGACTTCTGGAGATAGGGCCACAATAAAAAGGGGACTTACGGAAATAGGAGAAGATTATGCGAAATGTGTTGGAAGCCGTAATCGCTGATGAACATAACGTTTTCTTTTATACGGCTAGTTTTAGTTAACATCTATATTAATATTTTATAAAAAATATTTTAATGCTACATGAAGCCAATATTCAATTCTTCATATTTTTGACAAAAGCATTATGTAACATATTCCAGACACGAGACGTCTTTGCTCTCAAAATAATAGAATAAGTGACTAGCAGTTGGCACTACAGATATTTTCCCGTCTTGAAGAGAGAAAAGGAAGGGAAATGGAAAGCGAGGTGCTTAGACGTCGAGCTTGAATTCCGAATTTGAGGAAATCAAATATTTATAGCCACTTCAACTTCGCTCCTCCGGCAATAAGGTGGAGGGTTTCCCTCGTCAAACAATCCTTTATTTAAAAGAAGAGCCGGCATTTTTAGGCAAACAGTCTGACGGTAAATACAAGGGTAGCAATCACCTGTATCGTTCCCGCCGTCAAAAGTTGCCTTTTTCCTTGTAAACAGGGGCTTTTAGTTTAAAAGATTTCTAGAAATGGGTGTAGGTGAGCTCTTTTAAGCCTTTTAACAGCAAAACACTACAGCCCAAATGGTACACGCATTTAGAGTATCAAACGAAAACACTTGACTTTAAAAAATAAATTTCCATTCAATTTTTCCACGATATATCCTATAAAATGAATCTACCGATTTAACTGTTTTTTTCCCCAAAGGATTTTTGATTATATTTTTTGATTATTCAAGGTTTTTGGAATACATTATTAGGCCTAGGGATTTTACAAAATGGACATCTGATTGTTGTATGAGGTCTGAGGAAGGCGTGAAAAATTGGATCTTGGTTTTCCAATTTTTTACTACTTGTACTGGTAAATTGGTTTGGATCGCATTGTGTACTTTTTTAACTCAGATCTGTTGGACGACAATCGTTTAATTCGTCTGCTACCCCAGAACCGTATCCAATTGTGTATTAGGCGAGTTTTTTTAAAGCCTTAAAGCTTTCTAAATACCCCAGGGGAAATTCACCTCTACATTTATAATCAGTACGCCTACCAAAAGAATTTTAACATATTAATTAATATAAGTAATAACTCAATATGTCTAAAACGAGCATTACAGATAAAATAGAACCCAATCTTAATCAGACTCTATTAAACGATTAAAACAAGAGACAAATAGACATCCACTGAATATGCCTAATCATAATAACGCGCCTGACAGACAAAATAAGCTACATCAAACTAGACCATTAAAATCGGACATGATCAATCAACTACTGAATTGGCTATAAGTGTATAAAACTAGCTCAATATACAAAATCCAACCTTAATTAGACTTTATAATGTGTACAAACTCGAGAGAAAACTGGCAGACATTCACTGAAGTTATATACATGACGATAACATGTCTGGTAGACACTAGATCAGACAATACCAGGAAAATTGGGGAAGATCACTGAACTTCTAAATTGACTATAGCTGCATAAAATATCTCCAGACATAGAACCCAATAATCAGAAAATGGGGGAAAACGATAGACAACGGATAATCATCCAAACAGACAAAATCAGTTTGATTAGGCAACCTCAAATTAATGGGAGATGGTCTAACTTCTATGTTAACACTTAGGATCAACACACTTAACACAATTAAGACTTTATACAAAACAAAGAATTAGCCAGGAACAAATCATCTGATAAAGAGAGAACATGCGGACCAGTCCAGCCAAACTATTATTTCGAAAATTCAGACTTTTGATTTAACACCTTCGCTGAACATTTTAACGTCGTATTTTAGACTTTAATATTTCTTTTGTACATGTAAAACATAAACATAATAAATAAAACTAAACTTTATACTTTTTTTGTTACAGGAAAATGTTCATCGGAGGACTCAGTTGGCAGACAAGTCCAGGTAAGAAAATTATTTTCATTTTACATTATAATAAATTTGTGTGTGAATGGAAAAACAGACAGTTGTCGAAACAGCGTAGATTATGTGTTACAAAATTTACACATTTTTGTTGATCGTTCTTAGTATTTGTACAATACGATTGTATTGAGCCCTCGTTTTAATCATTTATAAGGTTTCTCGACTCGACCGACATATTGGCCCGAATTTACAAAATGAATCAAAGAAACAAAATCGAAGGTAAGGGTGAGATCTTAATCATAACGTTGCCCACACACGTAGGCTAGTATCAATATGATTAATTCAAGGCACGTGTGGGATCAAAGCAGTGGATATGATTTCTTCCTGATGCCTAGGTAATCTGAACCATCTTTGCCCTGATGTTGTTTATAGATTTATAGGCAAATCAAGAATGTATTGACTGTTAAATTACGTTTTTAATATATCGTTTTTCTATGTGTCAATTTGTATAAAGCAATGAAACCAGGCTGGTTTGAATTAAAAAGTTAGAGCATATTTTTTGTTATCATACAGTAGTGGGAATAGAAAAATGACCAACTTATTTTCTTTACTCTTACGCATAGTTTTCAAATAAACTCCTCTTAGCAGTGTATATTTTTAGCCGATGTATGGGAAGGAAAATGCTACCCTTAGGGTCAATATCACACCAGTTTTCATACTAAAAATTTACAATAATTTATGTCAAAACGGTTAAATGAAATGAAATCGCCTTTGTCATTTTCCTTCCGCCTTCCCTGAGATTTTCAGATTATTCGTCTTTCATTATGCAAAGGATTATTGCCGATTAGTTAGAGAGAAACTTAGAAATTAATCGACTTGCTCAACTTCTTAATCCAGGCTTTTAGCCAGGTGGATTGGGCCACGTCGGCCCTTCTACCTATAAAACTCTGATCTAGTTGGAGAAGTTGGCGAATAAGCGAGGACACCTGGAAGCGACTTAGCCGGCGTTTAATTAGCAAAAGACTAAACAAAAATTGAATACGGGATTGTGGAAAATCTGTAATATTTAACTTGGAAATATTATTGTTTTGTGTTAAATTTTGATGAAAATTGGCGGGGTGTTGAGCCATCTCTAAATTGTTTGACGTTGAGTGGATGTCTGCGTGTCTCCATCCTTCGACCTTGGTGTAAAATCTAAAAAAAAGGTGATTTCTTTGTAAAGGTCGGTGTACTCAATTTACGCGATTTCTACCTATCTTGTCTGATTTGGTTTATCAGTCACACTTCGTTAATTAGTTTATTCAGTGGATGTCTGCTTGTTGAAGACTGTATAATAGAGTCTGATCGAAGTTGAGTTCTATTTTCTACAAATATTTAATATAAGGGTACTTGTAACGTATCCGTCCGTCTGGCTATTTTTACTGGTTTTTACATGTTAACCATCTACATTGGATGTCGGTCTGTTGTCTCTCGCGTTCGCTCCTATTGTAGAATTTAAAAGAGGTTCGTTTCTATTTTTTTTTGTTAATCGTTAACATAAGTGTACTTGGATCATCTGTACACCCCGGTCTGCTTATCCTAGCTGGTTTGAACTGTCAAATGCGTTTCATCATCAACTACCCCTATTCAGTGGATGTCCCCTTGTCTCTCATGTTCGCTTCTACTGCAGAATCTGAAAAATGTTTGGATTCCATATAAAAACTGTCGAATTCAATTTAGGCTTCTTCTGCTTACCGTGGCTCTATGTCAAAAATGTTTAAGCAACTCGCCTTTTTCAGTGGATGTCTACTTGTCTCTCACGTTTGCTCCTTTTTATAGAGTCGGAAAAAAGTTTGCTTATGTGTACTGTAATCAAAAACATAGTTGTACATGGATCATTTTCGATCATCCTAGTCTATCTTCGATGGTTTTTCCATTAGGCACGTTTACTGGATGACTGTTGTTTCTCGTGTTCACACATTTTATAGTCCGATTAACGTCCCAACCTATAAAGAAATAGTTTTATGCAAGCTAAGTCAATTTAGGAGTTGATTGATCGCCTCCGATTTTCCAGGTCTAGTCTGATTTAGCTGTAATTGTCTGACACGTTATCGTCATATTTATAACTTCAGTGGATGTCTGTCAGTGTCTCTCATGTTCGTTCATATTATAGAGTCTAATTAAGCTAGAGTTCTGTATATGGAGCTAGTTTTATACAATCATAGTCAATTCAGGCGTTAATAGATCGTCTCCGATTTTCTTGGTCTGACCTATGAATCCGATCTATCTGGCGGATTATCGTCATGCAGCCCTATTTAGTAGATGTTCGTTGTTGCTTGTTGTATTGAGCTAGTTTACGCGTTTATAGTCTATTTTGAAATTGGCTGATCATCTTAAATCATCTTTGGGGCGAGCCGGTTTGCCAGTTTTGTAGAGTCTGATAAAGGTTGGGTTCTATTTACTGACATCGTTTGTGTATTTCTTGCCAATCTAAAAGTTCATTGACTTCAAACATCCTTGTTCTGCCTAATCTAGCGGGTTTTGTCTGGTAGACGTGTTATCGTCTTGTAGGCATATTCAGTGGATGTCTACTTGTTGTCTCTTGCGTTCGCCCTTCTTATATAGTCTGTAAGAGGTTGGATTCTATGATCATGAACATGTGGTACCTGAATTATCTCCGTCTATCCTGCTCTTCCTATCTTCGCTGTTTTTTTCCACTATGCTACTTCACTGTATGCCTCTCGTGTTCGTCCCCTATTGCGTTGTTATTTTGACAAACCAAAACTGAAAGAATATTGCACCATACGACAATCGGAAAGCAAAACAATTCTTTCCCAGTTGTTCGTTGGTCCATTTTATTTCGCACCTTTGTTTTTCAAACGTTCTTCTCAACGTTGGAGACCAATTAGTTTGTTTTACTCAAAGATTTCTAGGATACAATTAATTAAGGTTTTTAGTTGAGATGATCGGTATCATTTTCTAGCAGAAGAATACCCTTAAAAGGGATGCAGAGAAATAGAAAAGGTCATTTCTAGGATATTTAAGAATTGAACTTGTCGTTTTAAATTGTTTTTCGGGTGTATTATTTTTATTTAACGTATATAAATGAAAGAAAATTCTTGTCTTAGTCTTCTTAGTCTCTTGCTATGACAATTATAGTCCGAGGGCATTTTAACGACGTTCTGTCATTGTTATCATTTTCCCATGTACAGACAAAAGGTATTACAGTCAATTAATTCTTCAAGGACTAAGATTTCTGCTATCTATTCAACATATTGTTATAATACGTTTATTTCGATGTTATTTGGATATAATCAAACGTTGACAAAGATTGTTCTTCCTCGTTTCGGCGGAGAGTTAAGATTCTCCCCTGATAATCCGAAGATGAGCGGGGTTTTCGAGTATGGTAAAAGCTATGAATAAATTTAAAAATAGACAATATGCAGGAGACCTAGCAGCTGTGTTTTTCTTATACTAACTTGAAATATGATACGACCAGGGCGAGTCGAACCACGTTTGATGTGTTCGGAAGCGAAAAAGATCGAGGAAAAAGTGAAATTTATCAACAGACCTTTTGTCGGATGTCGTTAATTTATGGTCCGTTTGGCATCAATGTGGTTCTCAACTCCAGCGACGAAAATACCCTTCAAACGCCTAACGAACTATAATTCCGAAGCCTATCTACTAATAAATTGGTATAATTTAAAATTGACTTATAAGGGGAGTATCTTGTTGAGCTGTTGATATTTATAATTAATCTGGAACAAATTGTCGTACATAATGATGAATATATGATGTCGGCTAAAGCTGAGATGAACTTTCATAAGATCTCATAATTCAAATCTTATTACACACCAAAGTTTAAAATAAAATGGGTATCGGTTGCCGTTGTTTGTAATCTTCATTCCTCAATTGTGAAGTTGGTTAGCTTATCAAAAAATTATTATTTCTTAATTTTATCTAAACATCTCTTCTTTAAAAATTTATCCCATACAAACTGGTCATTTATGGGTCCGCGGAATTTCGCTTCACGGATAAAACCGGTATTGTAAACATTTCATAACATTGACCAAATAGCGAGGCTTGGCATGAAACGATGTAATTATAATTTATGTAATTATAATAGAATTATGTAATTATAGGAAGTCTCACAATTAATACAATTGTTAATACTCGAGCTATTCCAATGCACTTAGTTTTGTCCAGAAATTTCTCATTTAAAAATTTAGTCAAGACTTTCAACGGTGCGAAAGCCGGTTATATTGGGTTACATGGGCCCGCAGAGTTTTGCTCCATGTAACATCGGTCTGAGTTATAACCTATACATACTTTTGCTAATGTTCTAGTAGTACTATTTCAGGTGCAGTTACTTTTGTCTAGAAATCTCATTTTTAAAACGTTAGTTCAGAATTTCAACTTAGGTTAGTGTGAAACCGATTTTTAGAATTAAAAGCTAACACTTAGTTTTACACAAACGTCTCTCCTTTTTTTATTTTTTTTAAATATTTTTTTTTACGAGAGTTCGCAACAGCAGAGGTTATATCAACCCTCGGGGTGCCGGGGTGTTTGAAAAAAGCCCGTTTGTAAGTATGTCGGTTTCGAATGCAGGGCCGCTGGATTCGAACCCGGGACCTTTACCTTACAGTGATGAGCGCCGTGTAAACGCCTAAACCGTTGCGGCCATCGACGCCCCCCGTCTCTCCTTTAAAACGTTATACCGGTTGTTTAAGTATAAAATGTATTAGCGTGCAAACCGAGTAGATATGGGTCCGCAGAGTTTCGCTCCACCCAACAAAGAGGTATCGGTATGAATTGTAAATAATTCATACGTTTATTAATGTTCTAGTAGTGCTATTCAAAATGCGGACAGTCTTGCCCAGAAATTTAACCTTACAAGTTAGTTGAAAAAACGGGCTATGTATGGGTCCGTATTGTTTTGCTCCTCTTCACACCGTGGTTTCGGCTCTAATTATTTGCAACATGCGTTTTTAATGTTTGTGATTACGCTTTTCCGAATTGAATCCTGGAAGTTAGTTTTTCTAACAATAAACATAATAAACATC